CATTCCGTTTAATGCGATACACCCATTTGCAACCAATCGGAGTGCGGTTCTTGGGTGGTGGAACCAAGTCCCATGTACGTTGCTCATTCAAAGCAATAAACTCCTCATCCATAGCCTGACACCAAAAACTATTACCAGAGGCTTGGCGGTAAGTGCTAGGCTCAGTGGTAGGTGGGGTAGTAACAAGGGTGGTAATGGTATAGGCTTTAGATTTGAAAATTCCAGATTTGGCTCGGGTTTGCATGGTGTGTGTGTTTTGGGGCGGGGGTCGGTTAACCGGTTGTGTGTTTTGGAGAGGCGTAGGTGACGGTCGAGGGTGGGTTGGGGTACGGTTCTGGGGTTGGACCGTCTGTGGCGTGTCCATAAGGAGGGTGTCGGGCTGTCGTTCGTGACTGGTGGGACGGGTCTGGGGTTGGACCGTCAGTGGGAAATGAGCATGTGAGCCTAGGCTTGGAGGAAAAATAGGGGTTATAAGAGAGGGTGACGGGAGGGATGACAATTTGGGATATGGAAACTGATCCTCGACGAACCGAACATGACGAGAGACATAAACTTTTTGAGACACGGGTTCATAGCATTTATACCCTTTAGTGGTGGGGTGATATCCTAAGAAGACACAAGGAGTGGTGAGTGTAAGGGCGGAGCCATGGATAGACCAAGCAACCAAAGGCACGAAGGTGGGTATATGTAGGAGGACGATTATAAAGAGTTTCAAAGGGAGATTTGTTGGAGAGAGTTTTGGTGGGCATACGGTTGATAAGATAGTTTGCTGTGGTAAGAGCTTCGACCCAAAAGGTAGTCGGGAGAGCAGAGTCGTATAGAAGAGAAACAACCGTTTCAATGAGATGACGGTGTTTCCGTTCAGCGACCCTATTTTGCTCAGGAGTGTAGGGACAAGAGGTGTGATGAAGGACTCCTAAAGTTTGAAGGAAAAGGCCAAAAGTGTTATTTACAAATTCTTTGCCATTATCACTTCGAAAAATTTTGATGTGAGAATTAAACTGAGTTTTAATCATTTTTCAAAATTCACAAAAACAAAGTAAGCTTCAGATTTATGTTTTAGGGGATAAATCCAGGTAAATTTGCTGAAATCATCAACAAAAGAGATATAAAATCGAAAACCGCTACAGGAAGGAACAGAGGTGGGACCCCAAACATCAGAATGTATTAATTGAAAGGGCGATGTGGCCTTATGTTCAGACAATTCAAAAGGTAAACGACAGGACTTAGAGACATAACATGATTCACAATGTAAAGGCTCTGAAAACTGAAAACCTAAGGAAGACAAAATAGATTTGGCAATCGCAGGAGCTGGATGACCGAGTCTACGATGC